CTTAACCGACTGAGCCCTTTGAATGAGGGGCTGAAACAAATTAGGATTCAAGAATGAAAGAGTACACGAGCTACCACAGCGTCCTTGGAATTTGAGTTAAAAAACCTAAATGCAGGTCATCAGCAGGCTGTTAACAGAGGGACCTACAATATGATCTGCTTTAAGCCTGTTTCCTCACCTGTAAAATGAATTTGATAATAACAGCCACCTGAAAGGACAGTAGAAAGTATCTATTTATCATATAGATAATTGTGCTTGAAGGGCTCACAAAAATAGCTAATGTTTATTGAGCACCTACAATGTGTCTGACAGGAATCTAAGAGCTTTATGTGCTTAACCTCATTTCAACCTTACCACCTCATCAGGTGAGTACTATCATAGTCCTCATTACAACAGATGAAGAAATTGGGTAATATACCCAAGGTCATACAACCAGGAAATAAAGTCAGGATTTGAATCCAATTAGTCTGGATCTTCAGTGACCATGTTTTTAAATATGCTGCTCTATGGTCATTTAACCTAAGTTCATTTCACTTGTTAAACAAGGATACTAATACCTCCCCCACTGGGTTGTTGTAAGAGTGTAAAATACTGCCTGACACATAATAACACTATTCTCATTTTTGTAAACAGGACTCTCCCAAGGTCTCACAGTAAGAAAAGAGGTCATTGGACACCCAAGGCTCAAGAGCCCAAGAGCTTAGCTATCATTATTGTTTATTTTCTAAAAAATAAAATACCTACCTAGTTTCTCTTAGTTTCTCTTTAAAAAACTAAAGACTTAGTTTCTCTTTAGACTCCCCAAAGAAAGACAATACATCCTTCATGGTCCCAGAAACACCATGCTCTGCCTCCCACTGACCCCACCAACCTGGCCACTGGAAGAGTCAGCAGGACTCATGCAAAAGGCTGCTCATTCACCAGGACACTTGGTAGTGGAATGGAGAGCACTGGATACACAGACTGTACCACAAACTTTTCTTATGCAAAGACCATACTGATGGCCCTTTCTAGCTGGTAACACCATATTGGCCAAAAAAAAGGCAGTGTTCACTAACCCAGGCACAAATGGGGATAAAGATAAGTGTGCTTTCATCTGAAATAAAATCCTCTATAACAGGCCTTCTTCCTTGCTTCCAAGATTCATAAACTCCCTCCACCTAGCTAATGTTTGGGAAGTGCCTCCTAACATCTAGCTTCAACCCCTATTGCTGCAGTTGGTCCTTTCTCTGTCTCTAAGGAATCAGAGGCATACTGGGGCTCTGTTAACTGGTCGGACCTCCACAGTAAGTTTCCATTCCCTCATTCAGCCACGGAAGCTGGGCGGATGGAGCTATGCAAAGAGCCCTGAGCTTGAAAGCTATGCCAGCACTGGCGCTGAACAGGGCACAGACCCCGTGTGCATTTCTGGGAGGCAAGGCTGTGGCTCGCCTAGAATTCAACAGACCCTAGAAGGGGAGGGCAGGGAGGAGTCCCCATGCTAGACCCCCATGTCCCTGTATTTTCTGAATGAAGTTCCTCCTTTGAACACGTCCCTTTATTTATTGGGTCTCATTTAACCTCAGCCTTGTCCTCCTGAGGTCATTATTTGGTAACTGTCACTCAGCCTGCTGTGGCATTAACTTCATAATCCTATTGATTTCCTTCAAGTTATTTGGGGGTTTTCTCGACATCTTCCTGGGCCTGTAGGAGCTCATTCCCAGTTCTGCTCATTCCCGAAGAAGAGGCCCCAGGCCGTTAAGGATTTGCCCAGAGGCCCGTCCTGGGCGGGGTTCCTTGTTCCAACCCTGGCCCTTCCCAAGATGCGAGATTTGGACTGGCGAGGCCGCCTTGGTTGCTTAAGTGTGAAGTAAAGCGGCTAGGTGCCCACTACCACCTCCAGGAGCTTCCTGAGTGGCTACTGAGGCTGTCCTTCAGCTCAAAAGGCCTGGGCTTCACCAATCACAGCTTTGCTTGGCCTGGAACCCCGCCCCATACTCCATCTTGGATCCGGAGGGGTAAGGGGCCCAATCACCACCGGATGGGCGGGGGGGAAGCGGGTGAGGGTGGGGAGAGGTCGCCGCTAGTGCCCACGTGGCCGCCGACCTGTGCCTTCCCGCCACCTGCGGCCGGGGCCTGGCCCCTGTCGAGCTGCAGCTGCAGCTCCCAGACACCACCCCAGCCCGTCGCCAGGGGATTAGTGTCTGTCTGTGGGTTGGGACAGCCTCAGTGGGGGTTGTCCTGGCCCAGACGAAGGCTCCCTTCACCCTTCTCCAGGAGTGCCTTCCCAGAGTCCAGTTTGGGCAGAGAAAGATTGTGTTGGGGGTCTGACAGCCTGGGGTGCTGATCTCTCCCAGAGCTGAGGTGTGGGGTGACAGGAGTC